TGCATGCCTGTAATCTCAGCTACTCGGGAGGCTGAGGCAGGAGAATCGCTTGAACCCGGTAGGCGGAGGTCTCGGTAAGCAGAGATCGCACCACTGCACTCCAGACTTGGCGACAAGAGCAAAACTCTGACTCGAAAAATAAATAAAAAATAAAAAATAAAAAAATAAAAGAAGAAGTACTGGTTGGAGTCCAGGGGAGGCAATGGGCTCCCAAACTCCACTGGAGGTGGTGGCACTTGGAACAGCCATTTTGGAGAGCAATTTGCCAGGGTCTTAGAAGATGGAAACCGGCATATGCATCAGCCAGGCAGCTCCACTCCTGGGTTCACAGTTGAAAGAGCAAAGAGTGATGGTGGGGGGCATTCACAGCAGCAAATAAGTGTAAGCCTCACACGTCCATGAACAGCAGCATGACTAACAAACGGCTACATTCATACCCTGGAACACCATGCAGCAGTGAAAAAGAATGAGCTAGACATACCCAGAATTTATTCATTTGACAGATATTTATTGAAAACTACTATCTTTTAGGCACTGTTCTTGGCACTGAGCCTACAGTGATTAACAAGACAGATTAGGTCTTGCCTTAAGAATGTACATTTGGCCAGGAGAGATGGCTCACACCTGTAATCCCAGCACTTTGGGAGCTTGAGATGGGAGGATCACTTGAGGCCAGGAGTTGAAAATCACCCTGATCAACACTGGGAGACCCCATCTCTACAAAAGAATAATAAAAAAATTAGCTGGGCATGGTGGCGCACACCAGCTACTCAGGAGGCTGAGTGGGAGAATTGCTTGAGCCCAGGAGTCGGAGGCTACAGTGAGCCACAATGGTGCTACTGCATACTCCAGCCTGGGCAATAGAGCAAGATCCTGTCTTAAAACAAGCACACAAACAGACACAGAAGAAAATTTGAGAAAGTGTGATAGATGCCATAAAGAAAATAAAACTGGATAAAAGGTTAGATGATGGGGGAGGGGGCTGTTTTAGACACTATGATTGGGGAGGTCCCTGAAGAAGTGACATCTGGGCACGGAGCAGAATGAGGAAGACTGGGAGAAAAGCACACAAACAAATGGGATGGACAGCTGGGGCACAGAGCCGAGGGAGAAAAGCAATCCGCAAAACAATGCAAAAAAGAAAACAGTCTTCACTTAAACACATATACATCATTATCAAGTTAGATATGAGTCTCGAAGGGTAGATGCCAAATTCATGAAGGTAACTGTCCTGAGGGGACAGAGGAATAACCAGGACTAGGACTTGCAGTGGGCTTTCACTTGCCTCTAATATTTTAAATTTCTAATATTTAATTATTTAACATTTTAATATTTTAATGTTTAAAAGGTAAATATGGCTGGATGTGGTGGTTCATGCCTGTAATACCAACACTTTGGGAGGCCAAGGTCAGAGGATCGCTTGAGGCCAGGAGTTCGAAACCAACCAGCCTAGGCAACAGAGGAAGACCTGGTCTCCATAAATATTAAAAAAAAAAAAAAAAAAGCTGGGCATGGTCAAAGAGAGCCTGTAGTCCTAGCTACTCAGTAGGCTGAGGCAGGAGGATGGCTTGAGGCCAGAAGTTTGAGGTTGCAGTGAGCTACGATCAGGACACTGCACGCCAGCTTTGGCAACAGAGCAAGACTCTGTTTCAGACAAACAAATGAATTTTAAAAGGTAAATGTACTTACACAAAACTTGTGAAATGGCTGGGCGTGGTGGCTCACGCCTGTAATCCCAGCACTTTGGGAGGTCGAGGCAGATGGATCATCTGAGGCCAAGAGTTCGAGAGCAGCCTGGCCAACATGGTGAAACCCCGTCTCTACTAAAACAACGACGACGACGACAACAACAACAACAACAACAAGAACAAAATATTGTGAAATTTAAAAAAAAAAAAAAAAAGAAATTTAAATTTACCACGGTGAAGTAGGTGGGTTCCGGGTCAGTGGAGGACATACTCCCTTTCACTGGGGCCAGTTTCCTGGGGGCACAGGTTGCCTCGGGAGGGACAGTGTAGGGTCATGGTAGCCCAGCCAGTAGAAGCCCAGAAGCTTCTTGGAGGAGGTACCTCCATTGCTGAGCCTGAGATTCTCTGGCCCAGCACCCCAAGTATAGACAGGGGTGGGCAGACGTGTGCAAGGTCCCAGAACAAGAGGAGGTAAGCAGAACCTGAACTCCAGACTCCGAGCTGAACCCGGGGTAACTGATCAGCCTCTCAGCACGTTGCCTGCATCCAGCCCCTTTGCACAGCGGTTGCTCTGCAGGCCAGCCCTGTCGTGGGGGGGGGGGCAGGAGAGCAGCGCCACCTGCTGCTGTAAGAGGGAAACGCAACTCTCAGCGACCAACAGGTTACACCCTTTAAAACCCAGCTTCTCTTTCCTAAATAACCAACCAATCCCCCCAACTGCGAATCTGTTCTGCATCTCCTTCCCAGTGCCTGGCAGGGCCCTTAGCACTGCACGGTCGGGTCTTCTCTGCAAGAAGGAAAGATTGACTCAGGAGAGGCCGACCATCTTCACTCTTATTCCAGTCCAGCGGGCATAGGAGTTTACTCCCAGAAGACAGTGGCATCTCACCCTTGCTACAAACCTTAGGGGAACACAATCCATTTGACAACCTGGAGGAAGTCCCCAGGGAAGGGACAGAACTGGCCAAGGCCACACAGTTAATGAGTAGACAAGCTGGGGGGAATGAGTAGACTCATTCCACTGGGGATGGAAGTGGAGGGAGGTCACCATATTTGAGAATAACTGACGCAGTCTAAATAAGCCGCTCTTAGCATGTGCTCCCTGAACAGCAGCATCAGCATCATCTGGGAACTTGTTAGCAAAGCAAATTATCAGGCCCTGTCCCAGATCTCCTGAATCAGAAACTCTGGGGACCGGGTATGGTGGCCACACCTATAATCCCAGCACTTTGGAAGGCTGACGAAGGAGAATCACTTGTGCCCAGGAATTTAAGACCAGTCCAGAGAATATGGTGAAACCTTGTCTCTACAAAAAAAACTTAGAAGGGCATGGTAGCACACCTGTAGTCTCAGCTACTCAGGAGGTTGAGGTGGGAGGATCCCTTAAGCCCGGGAGGTCGAGGCTGCAGTGAGCCACGATTGTGCCACTGCACTCCAGCCTGGGTGACAGGGCATGATCCTGTCCCAAAAAAAGAAAAGAAGAGAAAGTGGCGTAGAGCCCAGCAATCTGGGATTTAGCGAACAAGCTTGAGACCCTGAACTGTTGGTCTAAAGCAATTGTACCCCCCCTTTTTTTAAATTAAACTTTTATTTTGGAATATTAGATTTACAGAAAAGTTGCAGAGACAGTACAAACAGTTCCTGTATACCCTTCACCCAGCATAGCCCAAGGTCCGCATCTTACTTCACCATGCTACATTTCTCAAAACCAAGAGACTGAAATTGGAATATTAACTAAAATTCAGACTTTCTCCAAATTTCCAATTTTCCCACTGATGTTGTTTTTGTTCCAGGATCCAGTCCAGAATACCACACTGCATTGAGGACGGTCTCCTTTTCAGTTCTGTTACTGCTCACCTCAGTCATCCTTCCCCGGGAAAGAGAGTGGGTGAGAAAAGCTGTCGTCCTTATTATTGAACTGGGGAAACTGAGGCTTAAAAGTGCCAAGTGACCAAGTTCCCTTAGAGGGCAGTGAGAACAAGGTCTGCCTTACTCTGTTCCCTTTCCCCGGAGACTCTTGGTTTTCAGAAGCCCCCTCTGGAATGTCCTAGCTGGCCTAACCCCAGTGCAGACAAGGAAGTACCCCTACTACAGAGGGGTCCAGCCTTTGGAAAGACTCACTTCCTGCCCCAACACCTCTTCCCCTAGACCCTGAGGGACAATGTCTTAGTGCCTTCAGACTTGGCAGCGAGGCCCCATGAGACAGAGAGAGAGAGAGAGTAAAAGGGAGAATAGGGAAATACTTTTATTTGCCCATCCAAAATTATTTGTGATAGGTGAAAAATGGCCACAAGCTCCTTGTGGTTCCACTCATCAAGACATGAAGTCTGTTTCTCTTCCATTGAATCTGGGCAAAGCACTGTGATTTGCTCTGACCAAAAGATCTTAGCAGAAGTGACATTGTCCTAGTCCTGCTTCCAGGCCAAGAACCCAAGAAGTCTTTCAGCTTCTACTCTCACTCCCTTGGAACCTTGAAGCCATCATGTGAATAAGCCTGAGCTAGCCTGCTGGAGAGGCCACATGGAGGAGAACCAAGCAACTCCAGCCAACAGCCTATCACCTGCCAGGCAAGTGAGTAAGGCTATTCTAGATCATCCAGGCCCAGTTGAGGTAACAGCTGACCTTAGAGGGACCGCAGGTGGGAGCAGCAGAACTGCCCAGCTGAGCCCAGCCCAAATTGCCAACACACAGAATTGTGGGCAAATAAAGGATTTGTTTCTAGCTGCCGGGTTTGGGGATGGTTTGTTACACAGCAGAAGCTAACTGGTACACAAATCCACATTTCTCTCATGGTAATGGGATCTCAGTTTTATTGCAGGAGGCAGTGTGCCAGTCTCCGTAGATGGAACATGACTGGTGTACTCAATCATGACAGTTCTGTACCCTGCTGTTTCAGCTTTCTCTGCAGCTAGAGGTGCAGTGGTAGCTGGCTCGAACCAAGGGCATCTAAGTGAAAATACGCAGGAGGAGAGAGCAGGAAACATGCGTCTAACCGAGGTTTTACTTTCTGATAGAAGGTGACAGGTCCGGCTGGGTGCTCATGCCTGTAATCCCAGCACTTTGGGAGGCCAAGTCAGGCAGTTTACAAGGTCAGGAAATTGAGACCATCCTGGCTAACATGGTGAAACCCTGTCTCTACTAAAAATACAAAAAATTAGCCAGGGATGGTGGCACATGCCTGTCATCCCACTACTCAGGAGGCTGAGGAGGGAGAATAGCTTGAACCTGGGAGGTGAAGGTTGTAGTGAGCTGAGATTGTGCCACTGCACTCCAGCCTGGGTGACAGAGTGAGACTCCAACTCCAAAAAAAAAAAAAAGTGACAGGTCCAGCTAGTTTGGCCCTTCCTCTTCCTCCACCCCTCCTTCCTTGAATCCAGACACGATTCTTGGGGATACAGCAGCCATCTTGGGACCATGAGAGCAAGGCAGAGGATCCAAGATGGGCCCTTATCATCACGGAGCTGCCGAACCAACCGTCGGCCACCCATCTCCAGAATCCATGCTATGTAGAAAATCCATCTTCTGCTTGTTTAAACCACTGCAACCAAGGTTTCCCTTGCCTCGCAGCTGAATGCAGTCCATACGAGGTTCAATATGTCTATAATATGTCTTATATTTGTCTATACATATGCAAAATGCAGAGGGGTCCTTGTCCTTGGGAATTTGGAGCCGGGCAGCGTCCAAGCCCATTTCTGTTCTCATTTCATCCTCTCAGTAATGCTTCAAGGGTAAGGCCATGATCCTATTGTCACAGACGTGGGAACTGGGGCTCCAACACTGTACAATGAGTCCAAGGCCTTGCAGCTGGCGAGAGGGTGCCCAGAGTCAGACCCTCTCCCCAGGTTCAAAGACAGTGTACCCCTGCTATCCCTTCTGCATGGCCCAGCCTGCTGGAGGCCAAGTGTGTCTTCTGGGCTCTTGAAGGTGGCAGCAGTTGCCAGGGAGGCTGCTACTGCAAGTCTGGTGTGGATGCCCCCAGGTACACCCTTAGGTCCGAGAGAGTGGACTGGACAAGCTTGGCAGGGATGGTCTCTCGCTGCAGCTGCTGGTAGGCTGCGTAGCGGTGGCAGCCGCCGAAGGAGTAGAAGTAGTCACCTCCCTGGGACCCTTTGATCCAGAGGACATCAATGGGGGGCACGCTGTCGGGGTCCTCCTGGGGAGAAGGGGCACAGAGTCAATGGACAGGGTACAAGGCTTGAGAGTTTGCAAAGCAGACTTTTTCCCCCTGTGCTGAGCTCCTTACAAGGTGCTCACACTGGACTGAGAGACAGCTGTTAAATAGCAGGAATTTTGTGAGCTGGTCGCCATCATCTTGTAGCTTGAAAATGAGCCATGGGAGAGTATACACCAGAGAAATGGACAGATGCTACAAATCAGGATTTCTCCCACCCAGACCCCGGGTTGTTAGACATGTATCAGTATACCACATGCACACTATCCACCCGGCCCCGCAGACCCTGGGAAGACGGTACAGCTGGAATGAGACAGAATCAGGCCTTGCCTTCAGGGGGGCTCCAGTCTAGTAAGAAAGTGGAACAAGAACTAAATACTAGAGTGACAAATGCTATGACAATAACACAGGCGACAGGACAGAGATGGGGTCCAAGAGGCCTCTCTGAAGTGAGAATGAAGCAGAGCACTTGGAAAGATAGAGAGGTGGGGCCAGGCGCGGTGGCTCACGCCTGTAATCCCAGCACTTTTGAAGGCCAAGGCAGGCGGATCACTAGAGGTCAGAAGTTCGAGACCAGCCTGGTCAAAACGGCAAAACCCTATCTTTACTAAAAATACAAAAATTAGCTGGGCGTGGTTGTGCATGCATGCTATCACAGTTATCTAGGAGGCTGAGGCAGGAGAGTCACTTGAACCTGGGAGGCAGAGGTTGCAGTGAACTGAGATTGCACCACTGCACTCCAGCCTGGGCGACCCAGAGTGAGACCCCATTTAAGGAAAAAAAAAAAAAAAAAACCACAACAGATAGAAAGATAGAGAAGTGGAGTAGTTCAATGAAGAGTCTGACTGCCTGGGTTCAAATCTAGCTCTGCTACTTAACAACTATGTGATCTTGGGCAATTAACCTTTTTGTGCCTCAGTTGCCCCCTCTGTCAAATGGGATGGAGATAACAGATCCATCCCATAGAGCTTTTGGGTTAAATGAGCTAATATATATAAAGCACTTCAAACCATGCTTGGCATCCAGAAAGCGCTCAGTAACGTATGCTGTGTATGACCTGAGGGAAGAACATTCCACGAAGAGGAAACAGCAAATGCAAAGTGCCTGAGGCCACAGCACGTTCACTGTGTAGGAGGCATGGCAAGGAGGCCAGCGTGACTACAGCGGACTCCAGGGCTCAAGCAGTGGTCAGAAAGGCCAGCAGGAGCCAGATGGTGCAGGTCTGCTTTTAAGAGCAGTGGGTGGGCCCTGGAGTGTTCGCAGCAGGCGAGGGTGACATGATCTGATGCACATTCTAGAAGGCTGACACAGGAGAACAGCCTTGGCAGGCTGGACAAGGGCACAAGGCGGCCTCTGCGGGTATTCAGCAGAAGACGCTGGTCTGGATGATGGTGTGGTGGGGACAAGGAGAGGTTGGGGACAAGGAGAGGTTTGGGACACACTTAGGGGGCAGATCTGAGGGATCTTGCAGAAGGGGTACATCCAAGGGCCAGAGAAAGAGAAGAATCTAATTTGACTTCCTGCTAGGGGCCCGTGCAGCCAGGTGGAGAGTGGGTCATCCTCTAAGTAGGGCAAAGCTGGGGCAGGACGGGTGCAGGGTGGAGCAGTCTGGGGAGACCCCATTAAGTGTTGGCTGCCTGAAAGGCCTCCTGCCGCTGGCCCACAGGTTCTCTCTCATGATTCCACAAATGATTATTCAGCAGTAAGGCACAGCAGTTGCAAGCCTGAGCTCTGGAACCCGGCACACCTGACTCTGGATCTCAGCTCCTCTCCACAGCAGCTGGGGTACCCAGCCCTCTGAACACCATTCCTTGCCTGTAAACTGGGAATAAGACATCTAGAGGGCTGCTGATGAAGAGTCAGTGAGCTGATGCCTATGGGGTGTTAGTGAAGCTCTAAGGAGGGGCAGCCGTGCCAGGCAGGCCTTGTGCTGGGTACTGGAGGCATGATGGCAGTTGGTCAGAATGATGGCTCCCAAAGATGTCCAGGTCCGAATCCTTGTGCATGTGTTACCTTACATGGGAGAAAGGACTTGGCAGATGGAATTGAGGGAAGGGTTGTGAGATGGGGAGATGATCCAAGGTCATCTAGATGAGTCAAATGTCATTATCAGGGTCCTTAAAACTGGAAGAGGAGGTCAGAGTGATGCGATGTGAGAAGGCCTTGGCCTGATGTTGCTGGCTTTGAAGACGGAAGAAAAGGCCATGGGCCAAGCAGTGTGGGTAGCGTCTGGAAGCTGTGAAGGCTGAGGAAATGTATTCTCCCCTGGAGCCTACAGAAAGCAGTGCAGCCAGGGCTGGGTGCGGTGGCTCACGCCTGTAATCCCAGCACTTTGGGAGGCCGAGGCGGGTGGATCACAAGGTCAAGAGATCGAGACCATCCTGGTCAACATAGTGAAACCCCGTCTCTACTAAAAATACAAAACATTAGCTGGGCATGGTAGTGCGTGCCTGTAATCCCAGCTACTCAGGAGGCTGAGGCAGGAGAATTGCCTGAACCCAGGAGGCAGAGGTTGCGGTGAGCCGAGATCGCGCCATTGCACTCCAGCCTGGGTAACAAGAGCGAAACTCCATCTCAAAAAAAAAAAAAAAAAAAGAAAGCAGTGCAGCCCTGCTTGATTTTAGCACAGTAAGACCCACTTTGGACTCCTGACCATAAATAAATCTGTGTTGTTTTAAGCCATCAACTTTGTGGTAACTTACAGTGGCCCCAGAAAACCAGTACAGGTGTGTTAGTAAGCAAAGGCAGAGCTCGTTCCGGCCATCAGAGCACACGGTTCTAGCACTGGAAGGCAGGTGTCTCAACAGGACGTTAAAAGACAGTGGGCTATAATCGCAGCACTTTGGGAGGCCAAGGCCAGCAAATCGCTTGAGGTCTGGGGTTCGAGACCAGCTGGGCCAATATGGGGAAACCCCATCTCTACTAAAAATACAAAAATTAGCCGGGCGTGGTGGCAGACGCCTGTAATCCCAGCTACTCCAGAGGCTGAGGCAGGAGAACTGCTTGAATCCGGGAGGTGGAGGTTGCAGTGAGCTGAGATTGCACCACTCCTCTACTCTAGCCTGGGTGACAGAGCAAGACATTAAAAAAAAAAAAAAACAAAAACCCAAATCACAAAAAACAATGGGAGTTATGCTGGTGGGCACACAGGTGGCTGCAGGCCCACAGAAGCCCCTAACCTGGTAGGGATGGTCAGGGAAGAGCTTGATATTGAGACAGGAAGACCAAGGAAGAGTCAGAAACAACAAAGAAGAGATAGAAGAGATATCTCTCCTATCTCAACAGGAGAAAAAACCTAGTGGTGGACAGGGCGTGCATGGCAGATCCCTTCCCATCTCAGATAGCCAGGTGCTGTGCTACTGCTGTGGGACCAGGTCCTCACCCTTGTGGAGCTCATATGAGGTCGGGAAGACAGAATATAAAATGCAACACAAATCAATGTATAATATAATTTCTGGGGGACATAAGTGGTATCCTGAAACACATCTCCAGCTAAAGGGAGAGCTAGAGAGGTCAGGGACCCTGACTAAGGGTGATCAAGGAGGCCGAGGGCTGAAGCAGGCAGGGGAGCAGGCCTTGTCTTTGTCTGGGGAGGTGGCTCCAGGCAGTGAGGGCAGTAGTGTAAACACTAGGACTGAAAGGGGTGGCTGTGGTGGTGCTGGGTGAGGCTTAGGGATCTCATGTGGTCACCTTCTGAGCGTCACGGGGAAGGGGACGCAATGTCACACAGGCCTAACCTGACACCTGTTCCTGCAGTGCCCCCCCCACCCAAGTTCCTGCCAGAATCACTCCAGCATTCTCGAACACCCTCCCTCAGTGGTGGAGCTGACCCTTGACCTCCCTCACTTCCCATTCAGACAAGGCCCTCCCAGCAGACACGACACATCGAGTCCCACTGTCACTGACTGTCATGGCCATGAGACCCCATGGCTAATCTCTGGGCAGTGGGGCCCAGCTGCCTGGGTGTGACTTCCAGCTGTGCCACTTTTAAAGCACCTGATCTTGGTCAAGCCGCTGAAATCTTCCCTTGCCTCAGTTTCTCGTCTGCAAAAGAGACACTATCTACCTCATAGGGTTGGCATAGGACATTAAGGGACTTCCTGCAGCTCCTGGGCCACTTGCAAGCACTAGCGTTATAAGCGTTATCATCACTACTTTAATTATCTCATCCAATTTCCTCCTTGCTCAAGTGAGGAAACAGGTACAGAGAGGCCCAACCACTTGCTCAAGGTCACACAGCAGATGCTAAGCTCCGGCTGAGGCCGGGTCTATCGCGGCGACCTCCCTCCTCCAGAGCCCTCCCTCCGGCTGGCCGGCCTCCCCGGGGCCTCACCCGGATCGTGTCCACGAGGCTCTGCACCTTGGCGTGGTCCAGCACGGACGGCAGCGGCCGGATGAGCACGCTCAGTGGCACGTTGTGCACCGCGGAGATGCAGCCCGAGTGGATGCTGCCGCCCTGCGCGCCGCCGCTCGGCCCGGGCCCCTCGGGCGCCCCCCGACCCGCGCCGGCCCTGCCCAGCGTTCCTCCCGCACGCAACCCCATCGTCGCCGCCAACGTCGCCGCCGCCGCCGCGGGACGCGCAGCCTCCCGGGCTTTAACTCCGGCCGGTCCGTACCATTCCGCGCAGCCGGCGGGGGGGCGCCGGGTCAGGGCAGCGCGCGTTTCTCCCCGGCGCCACCGTGGTCCGGCCCCCACCCCGCGGTCCCCAGCCCGACCCCGGCTCCGCTCGGTGCGTGCTGCGGAACTCGCGCGGGGCTCCGGCTCTCCAGCGGGGGGCGCCTTCCGCCTCCCCTCCGCCGCGCGGCGTCCGGGGAGTGGGAGCGCCCGGGCTGGCTGACTCAGGGTGAGTTTGCAGGTCGCGAGGCGGGAGGGGCGCGGGTGACGCACCGGCCGGGGTGACTTAGGCCGCGGGGGCGGGGGCGGGGGCGGAGAGCGCGGCGGACCTGCCCGGCCAGGATGAGTCGGCAAAGCCCGCAGTGCGCCGCCGCCCCGCTGCTGGGGCTGCTAGCCAGCGAGGTGATCATCCCCACAACGCTTCCACTCCCGAGCTGGTGCTGGCTGTGTCTGGAGCGGTTCAGAACGCTTTGCTGGTATATTAACTTATTTAAACCTCAAAACAACCCTGCCAGGGAGGTATGATTGTTATTCCCATTTTACAGAAGATGAGACTGAGACACAGAGGTTTAAGTGATTTACCCAAGGTAATGGAGCTAGTAAGTGGCCGAATCCGCGTTCAAATCCAGACACTCTGGCTCCAGAGTCCGCTCTCTACCCTACCGCTGGCTGCCTTGGTGCAACAGGAGCCCTCAGGAGTCGCGCTATGTGTGGGCCCTGCCTTCAAGTTCCACACTGTATCATTACAGCACTACTAGGAAGTAGGTGCAGTTCTAGACCTGCTTGTCTAAGGTCAGCTGGAATGAAAGTCAGGTCATGAGTCCAAACCATGGGACCACTTCACCACCACTCCAAGCAGGAAGGAGGGCGATCCCAGGCTCGGCTGAAGACGCGCGTGTCTGGTTTGCTTGTCTTCCTTCTTACCCTGGATGGCACGAACATGGAGGAATGCATACTTACCCTGCCAGCTGGAGAGAATTCGAGATGGAGAAGGGGCGGCCAGGGGTTTCTACTTTGCCTGGCGCCGGTTGCTGACACTTTCCGAACCCCATCTGTAGAATGCAGTAATGCTGCCCATCACTCAAAGGTGTGTGAATTGAGAGTGCTCATAGTGCTCTGTGAATTGCATAACATCCATTTTGCTGTTGAAGATCATTTATTTTGGGTTCTTAGTCTCTCACAAAACCTTAGTCTAACAAAATCTTAGTCTCTCAGAAAACACCGAGACCAAGACTTGAGCCTTTCCCTTTCGAAACATAATTCCCTCAAGCACCTAAATGATACTTTGTTTCAAGCAGTAGAACTGACATCCACACCTCTGCACCGACTCTCCAAAAAAATTAGACTTTCAACTGGGCGCGATGGTTTACGCCTGTAATCCCAGCACTTTGGGAAGTTGCGGTGGATGGATTGTCTGAGATCAGGAGTTCGAGACCAGTCTGGCCAACATGGTAAAACCCCATCTCTACTAAAAATACAAAAAAAAAATAATAATAATAATAAAAAAAAATAGCGGAGCAGAGCATGGTGGCCTGTGCCTGTAATCCCAACTGCTCAGGAGGCTGAGGCAGGGGAATTGCTTGAACCAGGGATGTGGAGGTTGCAGCAAGCCAAGATTGCACCACTGCACTCCAGCCTGGGCGACAGAATGAGATTCTGTCTTAAAAAAAAAAAAAAAGAATTAGAGAATTTCATCGAGGGAAGTTATCCCTTCTATAACATCTTCCTCATTACAGGAGGTAAGAATGGCAGGATAACAGTTTCTAGAGTGGAAAAGTAGAGATCTGGCCTGATTATCTCATCATGGTGTGCCCCAGGGAGGCCTCATCTTCTGGCATCAAATTCTCTGTGTTAAGATATCTATGGCCCAATTCAAAATGGCTTAAGCAATAAGAATGTTTTCTCACATAAGATGTTTGGAGGTAGGTGTGTCCAAGGTTGGTAAAGAGGCAGTTGAACAATGTGATCAAAAACCCGGATTCTGTCTGGGCCTGATGACTCACATCTGTAATCTCAGCACTTTGGAAGGCGGAGGCAGGCGAATCACTTGAGGCCAGGAGTTCAATACCAGCCTGGCCAACATAGTGAAACCCTGTCTCTAACAAAAGTACAAAAATTAGCCAGGCATGGTGGCATGTGCCTGTAGTCCCAGTTATTCCAGAAGCAGGAGAATTGCTTAAAACTGAGAGGTGGAGGTTGCCATGGGCTGAGATCACATCGCTGCACTCCAGCCTGAGCAACACAGTGAGACGCCATCTTGGGAAAGAAAAAAAAAAAGACTCTAGTTCTGTCTGTCCTTTTGTGCCATCATCCTCAGTGTTCTGTTATCCTGGGGAATGCCCCTCATGGTCCCAAGATGGCTGCTATAGCTCAAAGCATCACATCACTACGTGCGAAGGTCCAAAAGTGGAAGTTAGGACATCGCTTTGAGCCTCTTTTTAAGAGTGAAGAAACCTTTCCTGGCTGGATGCAGTGGCTTGCACCTTCTGACCTTATACTCCTTGAGCCCTGAAGTCCATTCTAGTCACACTGGCCTCCTTGCTGTGCCTACTCCACAGCAAATGTGTCCTGACCTCAGGCCCTTTGCATTTGCTGTTCCCTCTGCATGGAACACTCTTCTCTCAGGTCACATACAGCATACATTACTGAGTGCTTTCCATGTGCTCAGCATGGTTTGATGCACTTTACATATATTAACTCACCAAACCCAACAGCTCTATGAGATGAGTCTGTTATCTCCATCCCCATTTGATAGATGGGGCATGCCTGTGGGAGCTCTGCCCATACATAAGCACATTCTGGAGGTGCCAGGCCATTCACTAATGGGGGCAGGAGCCGGTGAGTAAATGCCAGTCTTTCAGAGAGATGCTCTAGACCATTCAGATCTTTCTGGACCCTTCTCAGAGACCAGAAGTACTCAGCCCTATGGCTACAACTGACTTCACTAACATACCCTCTGTCCCATTCCTCCCGCCCCTCACTTCTGCTTCCGGGGATCACCACCCACATAAACGACTTTCACTCAAGTCTCAGACTTGCTATCAGGGAACGAAGACTAAAACAAAAGGGAAACTTGATACTGGGTTATCCCCTGTAGTTCTGTACCTCACCTGGGCTATTTTATGAGATGTGTGACCTTAGGCCAGTCACCTGTCTCTGTCTGTTTCCTAATCTGCAAAATGGACATGATGCCATCTAATTCACAGGGATGCTGGAAGAATGAAGAGAGCTGATGTTAGGTGAAGTCCTTAGAACTGTGCACAACACATTATAAGTGCTCAATAAATGTTTGCTGTTTGATTGGACTTTAAATTACAATAGAGCTTGAAGGTCTCTCTGTGTCTTCACTTTCAGACTAGTCTTGATGTATTAGTCAAGACTTTTGTTTGCCAGTGACAGAAAGCCAATGTGAATTAGCTTAATGAAAATGGGGATGCTTGGCTATTCCCTTGACCAAGGTGAAGCCAGGCCTCAGGGGAAAGTAGGTTGAGAGATTTCTTTACTCTGCCCCTCACTCAGCAGAGGGATTATCTCTACATGTCAGGAACATGGCTGTCTATGGCGATGATATTTGGCTTTAAATAAGGGAAACCTGACAAGAGGGACTTAATACAACTTAAAATGTTTCTTCCATTGAAAAATAAAAAGTCTGGCTGGGTGTGGTGGCTCACCCCTGTAATCCCAGCACTTTGGGAGGCCGAGGCGGGCAGATTACCTGAGATTGGGAGTTTGAGACCAGCCTGACCAACATGGAGAAATCCCATCTAAAAGATACAAAATTAGCCGGGCATGGTGGTGCATGCCTGTAGTCCCAGCTACTCAGGAGGCTGAGGCAGGAGAATTGCGTGAACCCTGGAGGCAGAGGTTGTGGTGAGCCAAGATTGCGCCGTTACACTACAGCCTTGTCAACAAGGCTTGAGATGGAATGAAATTCCATCTCAAAAAAGAAAAAAAAAAAAAAAAAAAAAAAAAGCTAGAGGCAGGAAGTCCACGGCTGGGATGACTGCTCCATGATCCTTAGTGGCATAGGTCCTTTCTATCTTTCTGCTGTAATTTTAGAGCAGAGTGTTCATTCTCAGGATCACCTCCTATTCAAGATTGCTGCTGAAGTGCAAGCCATCTCATCTAAATTCCAGCCTGGAAAGAGGTGGAGAAACGGAAAGGCAAAGGATAGGATGGCTCCCTTGTATAGGATGCTATCTCAGAAGTTGTGTATAATACTTCCCCTTGCATGTCATTGACTGGAAATTGGTCACGTGGCCACCCCTGGCTGCAAGGGCAGCTGGTTATTTTGTCTTCATTCATCATGGCAATGTGCTCAGCTAAAATGGGAGTTCTCTTCCTAAGGAAGAATAGAGATTGATAAGTAGCTGGCAATCGGAGCCACAGCTCTCTAGTTACAGGCCGTATGGCACAGAGAGAGGGAGAGAGAGAGAAAATTTCCAAGTTCCAGTCAGATGCCCACATATGAACAAACCAGCTATGGCCTTGGGGGACAGAGACATTTTTAAAAGCACAAGCCACCATTATTTATTATAATGACTTAAAGGAATGGAATTGATTTAAAGATAATTACTGGTCACATGCTATTGGCTAGGCACACAAACCCAGGGGATTTTGTGTTGAGCAAAAAGACACTGCCAATCTCTGCCTTGTGAAGCTTACAGTGTAGTGGAGGATTCAGATAATGACCAAACAGTCACATGGATGAATGGAAAGTAAACATTGATGGTAGGTGCTGCAAAAGAATGGCATGTGGTTCTGAGGAAGTGTCTTAGTCATTTTGGGCTAAGTTGGGCTAACGTATTGCTCTGCCACAGCAATACCATAGACTGGGTGGCTTACAAACAACAGAAATTTATTTCTCACAGTTTTGAGGGCAGAGAAATCCAAGATTAAGATGACTTTGTATCTCCCCAACATTCATATGCTGAAATCCCAACCTCCAGGTGATGGCGTTGGGAAGTGGGCCTTCGGGAAGTGATTATGTCATGGGGCAGAGCCCTCATGAGTGAGATTAGTGTCTTTTTTTTTCTTTCTTAGAGACAGGGTCTCACTTTGTTACTCAGGCTGGAGTGCAGTGGAAATGTAAGGAAAACTTCAATTTTTTTTTTTAAATCAGGAACCTGGTAATATCTAAGGAATTCTGAACAGAACATTGGTAGAAATATGGATGAAAAAGGCCATTCAGATGAGAAAGTGAGGAAGATATTATTGGACAATGAAAAAAAGG